AATAAATCGCAGGCGACACATTAAATTCCGTTTCCAATTCTCTTTATTAAAAAGCCTACACAGTGGCCTACAGCACTCCTCAGCTTTTAAAAACATGGCTTTGGATATTACTCTTAGAATTTCAAACACATCTCTTCCAACTATCTCATGAAGATACATAACTTCAAAGTAGTCACAAAATAACGAGTTTGGGCAAGAGTCAGCTTTTTTTTCAGGTGGTGCCCACAAGGAATCGTTTTTTTTTTTTTTTTTAATATATTCAGTCCATTTGGTTGGAATCTAGTGAGTGCTAACAGTTCCCGGTTTTTCTTGCTCCATCACTCAAACTAAACACAATTCTCTCATGAAAAATCTGAGAAAAATACTGCCGGAATGTTTTTTCATCAAACAGTTCATCAACATTACTATGCACCCCCCCCCCCAAAAAAAAAAAAAGTATGTATTATTTTGAACTAACATGTTCAGTTTTTATTTTAAAGAAATCCTTATTTTTGAAACGACGTTTTTTTTCGGTATTTCCTCCTCATTGTTTACTGCAATTACTATCATCAATTAAACCGAGAAAGGAAGTGAGTGATGGCACATTGTTATGAATATAGTCGCCAGGTGCATTTGTCAAAAGAAAGAAAATTTGATCGTTAATAATCTATGAAGATCTTGTAAAGCACATGAATAGATGATTATTATAAATAAATAGATAAATAAATAAATAAATGACTTGCGAGCTATAATTCAATAGATCTAACAAATGTCATCGTGTCAGTCTTTGAAAAGAGCCGAAAAAACTTTAAATCTCAAGCAGCACATGTGGCTTGTATCAGCAGAGAGAAATTCACCCCCCTCCATTGTCTGTCCACAGCCAAGGCCCGCCACTGGGGGACTTTTCACTTAGTTGGTCGGACTTTTTTTTAATTCTTAAAAGCCAATGAGTTGATAGGTCGGTTTTTCAGTCACCCACATAGTAGCCAAGCAACACTGAATCTATATAAAACTGGACTAGCTGAAAAAGTGATGAGACTACACCCAAAAATTAAAAAAAAAATTAATAAAAGACAATGCTCTTTCCCCATGTTAATATTTCAGGTATCTCTTCACAGCACAAAAACAAACAAACAAACAAACTAACTATTGAACAAGCGAGCAGATCAATATTCTGATGTAACAAAGATTGCAAAATTATATGAATAGGGCCTATATCGTTATCATGAAAGTCGGATGTTATGATCTTAGTCCCACCCTCACTCTACCCTCTACCAGGGCGACTGACAGATTTTTCACAGATATTAACAGATATGTCTCTAGATAGATAGATGGTCATTTTGGTTCTAAGTCACCCTGTTGAGAAATCATTGGCTTTTAAGGGTGACTTAGAACCAAAATGACCTACCACCCTGGTAGAGGGTCCCCTCACCCCAATATTGCTATTAAAAGGATGCTATACATGAGGCTTTATAAACGGATTAGGCGTGGGCGAAGTCAAACCTCAGATTCATGCCACAAATGTCCAAATTAATGACTCGAGCCACGAAATAGGGTACCCGATTTTCGGAAAGTAAAATTAGTAGTCAAAAGCACAGCGTTACGACACGCGAACCGCTCTAACGCTGTATTCGTATATTCTAATTTTACGTCTATATATTTATCGTGTCATGAGTAATTAATTTGGGAATTCGCGCTCCCAAATCTACTGCTCGTGGTAGCAAACGACGTTAATCGTTTATAAGGCCTGTGCATTACTGAAAAAGTGACACTACTAGTACATTTGCTAATACCCTGTGGGGAAATAAGTAATTTGTTAAAATATCACACGACAATAATCGTTTATGAGGCCTGTACATTATTGAAAAAGTGATGCTACATTTGCAAATATCCTGTGGGAAAATAAGCAATTTGTTAAAAGCAATTTAAAAAAAAGCATAAGCACAATATCAGAAACATTTCTCACTTATAAATTAATTCTGGAACGAGTATCCAGTAGAATGTAAGGTGGGGTTTTGAGCAGTGATGTTTACTGGATGATAATGAGAAATAAAAAAAAATATATTGACCCATCCTTAAGTACACATACACATATCATATCCTAACATCTTATAATACTATCAAAGTTTCACTAAAGTAGCGAAGTATTTTCACTTTTCATTTCGTCTCCCAAATCTCGAATATTTTAACAGCTGGGAATTTAAATCTAATTAAAATGGACTGGGGTGATATCAATTGAACTTACGGCGATGATAAGAGAACACCAGTTAGGCTTGATTTATATATATTTATATATATACACACGAAGAGCAATTTTTGTTTTCTAATGTGTATGACGTAAATGATCCCTGATATGACAAAAAGCATGACAACACAGTTCCAAGACAGACTGGTTTGTCTGTGTCCCATATTTAGCGCTGTTTTAGTGTCATTTGCGGCTAAGTATTAAAAAGCTTAAAATACACAACACTGTTTGAAAACACAAAATTGTCTGTTATAATAAGACCAATCTATTCCCTTTCTCTTAATAGCACCCACAATGTAATCAAACACATAGGAATATGTTGAAAGACTTTCAATGATGATAACCCATTGTTATTACCCAGTATTGCGGACGTTTATGCACTGATCTGCTCATAAGTTAAGCAACACCCAGATTTTTTTCAAAAGTTTATTCTATCATGATCATTATTTCATTTGTGAGTGGAATAATGCATATTTCTTTCATATTTTATAAATAACCTATTCAAATTGAAAATTTCTTTTAATGAAATACGCCACATAGCTTATTGTAATAATCAAAATAACTTTATTAACCAAACGGTACCAAAATATGCCAAACCACGTGTCTAAAAAGTATGCTCACACAGCAAAAAGTACGTGCTGATTAAAACAGCTTATCACGAAAAAGTTCAATCATCTAAGAATTAGTTTTAATAAAAGAAGACTGTAGATAATAAGTGATAAATCGTCTATCATCCAATAAATATTGGATGTGCCTTCCCTGGTTTTGAACAGCAGCTTCACAATGTCCCCTGCAATTTGCCACCAGATTCTGTAAATCTTGCATTATGAGCCGGTTCCATTCCTAAATTACTGCCTGCTGGAGCTTTCTTATCTTTCCTACTGGAGGTTGTCTCTCATTTACTGCTCTGTCAATCATATCTTTAGCATGTTCAGTTACACTAAGAATTGACGAATATGCAGGGCCATCCGAATTTGGGATACCATGCTGTTGCACATCGATTTGCACGGGCCGTGCTTTACGGATGGGAGAATTGCCCTGCACCAAAATGATATTTCTTCCTGGATTTGCTTGAATGTTTGATTGCATGCCCCCCAATGGTATTTAGTCTCTGTATCGTTGACCAATAATCTCCCTTGCATGACGTACAGTGCCAATTTTCCATCATATGAGAAAGCGCACCATACTAAGACGGATATTCCGCCACCCTGAATACGTTGGTGAACACAATCATCCTGAAACGCTTGGTTTGGACCTCATCAGACTCCTAGCCAACCATCTGCATACATCAAAGTGAATCTGCTCTCGTCAGTCCACAGGATCCTTCACCCAGTCTTGAGATTCCATTTTTCTCGGCATCTGGCTTATGCCAATCTTATCTGATTGTGTCTTTTGGTGGCTATTTACGAGGTCTTTTTACAAATTATCTTCTGGCCTTTTTTCACAATAAAATGGGAATTATCAACCTTTTCCATGCAGTGCTATTACTCAGCACAGTACAATGATTAATTTTTGGGACAGTACAATTGTTAATTTAGAAGATTTTTCCACCCACTACAATTATTTAGAACTCAAGAGTAATAGCATCAAACATTTCTTTCAGTGTTTTTAATCATATAAAAATATTGAAATATAATGAATTTTCGCCAAATAATTCACGGCACACATTTTTTTAAAATGGCCCACTTTTTTTGACCAAGTGGGCCAAAATGACCCAACCAGATTTTGACCCAGGAAGATCCCTGTAAGATATCGACAGGTCACACAAAATATATATTGTATGTAAACAACTTATAGAATTATAACAAAATATATATTATACCACCAAATTGGCAGTTAACACAATTATTCTGGAATTTGTGCTTGACATCACATCACATCACATGACTTCCATAGAATGCTACACTCTGTAATAGTCTCTAAAGATAATTTTACGAAAATCAAACTTAAAAAAAAACCCAAGGACCAATGTTGAAGTGGGAATGGATTCATTAACCATTGATATGGGAAAATTGTTCTTTTACACCAGAAAAATCCATTTTTGGGTCAAAATGAACAGTTGTTATCCCTTTAACACTGATATTAAACTTTAGTTGACCAGTTTTTATGAGAGCAGTCCCTAATAAAAACATATGTGGTTATACACTTTCGAATGCACATATTATGGTGGCCCACTGTTCTTAATCTAGCTAAAAGTATTGTCTTTTATTTATTACTAAAGGCGACCTTGCTTTCAGCCACTACTCCTTGTGGTGCATCACCAAACATTGCCCGGGCAACAAAGGTGTACAGCCAGTGTAGCTCCAGTTGTTGTTTTGTGGGGGGACAGGTAAATTACACGTGCCAAGCAGGTTACCAGCTCACTGGATTTGAAGGCTCCATAACATGTGACAGTGATGGGAACTATTCTGTAGATGCCAGTGTTGGAACTTGTGTTGGTGAGATATTAGATTCTTTAAACCCTGAATGTACCAATGTTTACAACCCTGCTATTTTGTTAAAAACTCTAATTTTGACACTATTTTTTAATCTCAAAGTTAAAAGTCTTGCTTGATTGTAAAAATGTAGCATGATTTTGAAGTTTTCTGAAGACCATTTTGTTCTGCCATTGATAGAGTCATATCTGTTATCATTTTCAGTTATAATCAATTTTAGTAAAAGTATAAATTACAGAATATATATATGTATATGGTTACAAAATATATAAGAATGAGATGTAAAATGCAATTTGTCTTATCTTTTGTCTTGTTTTTTTTTTCTTTCCAGCATTATCTTGTTCTAATTACACCCTAAACAGCAACAATCATGTGACAGACAATGACACCAGTGGAAGCTACGTGTATGGCACAGTGATAGAGTTCACATGTGAGGATGGTTATGAGCTGGTCGGAGGAAGAGGAGCTACCACAAAACTTGTTAGATGTAGTGCATCTGGAGCTGGAGTAGGCTGGGACTCAACAGTTCCCACATGTCAGGGTATGTTTGTACTAAGTATTGTTGTTTTACCCATACCCAAAATAAACCAATGTTTACAAGCCAGCTATTCTGTTAAAAAAAACTCTTCCAATTTGGACACTATTTTATATAATCTCAGAGTTAAAAGTCTTGCTTGTTTGTTAAAATGTAGCACGATTTTGAAGTTTTCAGAAAACTATTTTGTCTTGCCATTGATAGTATCATTTCTGTTTTCATTTTCAGTAATAATCCTTTCTAATGCGAGTAAAAGTTACACATAAGAATGAGATGTGAAATGCAGTTTGTCTTATCTTTTGTTTTGTTTTTTTCTTTCCAGTATTTTCTTGTTCTAATTACACACTAAACAGCAACAATCATGTGACAGGCAATGACACCAGTGGAAGCTACGTGTATGGCACAGTGATAGAGTTCACATGTGAGGATGGTTATGAACTGGTTGGAGGAGGAGGAGCTACCACAAAACTTGTTAGATGTAGTGCATCTGGAGCCAGAGTAGACTGGGACTCAACAGTTCCCACATGTCAGGGTATGTTTGTACTAAGTGTTGATGTTTTACAAAACCTGAACAGGGTGAAGGAGTGGGCAATACAGGTGAAGTAACCATATACATCATGTATGTGCCAATCAAAATAGTTTTAACTTCAGTAGTTCCATGTCTGCAGGGGGTATATAGGTGTAATATAGATACATTGGAAAGGAGACAGTACAGTTGGGTGTCCCTAAGCATTAAAAAAATCTAAGATGAAGGTTTCAGTCTTAATTTTTACATTAGTGATACATTTTTTTAAAAGAGATCTGGAGTTTAGATTAAAAAAAATCCTGCAAGCTGTCATGAAAACTTATGATTAATTTGAATTTTTTTTTCTTTTGTTCCAGTACCCCAACCTGCTTCCACAGCTGTCAGTAACTACCCAAGAAATGTATTTACTTGTGCCATAATAATATTATCAAACTTGCTTGTTTACATACAGTTTTAAAGGATTTGTATAAATGCAGCTTTGAAGGATAAGCCATGATAGTTTTTTTGAATATCAAAGACTCTCTATAATGTATTTATCTATGTTTCTTTTGTTTATAAGTAAATTTGTTGTTGATTTGCTTTAGTTGTTTAACTGACTGGGTTGTAAAAAAGTGATAAAAATTGATTATTTAACACAAAGTTTGTTTTATTTCAATCTATCTGTCAGATTCTGTACAATAACACCAGGAAAAAGAAAGGAATATAAATGTGAGTACAATAATCAGGCTAGGAAAGGGGAGAAAAGTAAAAGGGAACCCTGTTACAGTGTAGTTATCGGGTTGATGAGGCTCAGTCTTTGGAAGGTCAGGCACAAGTCCTTGAAATATGTCTAAGCATTTTTATTGTGGTATACGTTTTTCACATCTTGATTATGACCATTTTTGCATGCAAGCTTCACCGTTTGTACCCATATGTACATGTACGCATGCTATTTTATGATAAAAAAATACCCCATTTTAGGTAACTTTTTTCACAGAGCACCCCTAATGCGTTACTTTATAAAATGATTAATAAAATGCAACATATTTAATATATGTATTTCGTCTATATAATGGTTCTGTATTATCCCACCCTTAGCTTCAGAGATAACTTGAAACGAATCTCTTGTGTTATATTTAAAATACCCCCGGTATGATATTAATTCATTCAAGTTTTGTTACGCTGGGTGTTTACGTAAATTTCCAAGATTTCCTTATTTTCATCACAGACGTGAACCCAGCATTTTAAGGGTTTCTCGCTATACATATCCCCAAATTTTCCAAACAAACGTTTCCAAACAAAATGCAACGGTCGGTTTCGTATGCCTCGTTAATACAGCGTATCTCCGTTTATTACCTTCTTACTGTATAAGTATAGCCTTTTAATTTAATACGCCAGTTTTTTCTTCTGGCCTAGCCTTTCTTGATCTGCTTTGTATGTTTGCTTTGGCCCACGATAAATGACGCTTAAGAGTCCGTATGTCAGACGCAACTATGGACACAACCACAGAAACTAAAACTATCACCCCAACACTTCCGGTGATAGCGGCGCCAGGGGCCTCTTTTGGTGGGTAGCGGGTGGTGCGCTTCTCTACCTTGATGGGTTCGCCTGAAAATACATGTACAATAATTTTAATGTCCACAAGGCTGTCAGTATATATATTTTAAAGTAAATGATCTTCCAGTGTTTCTTGAAGCGGCAGTTCTATTTGAGTGAGGGGTTAGAATAAAACCCCATCAATAAATTGTTCTGACACCATATCATTGGCAATATTGCCAGTTACAAGGTCAATGGTTTACGTTTTGAGTTATAATGTATTGAGATAGTAAAAACAGACTACAATATAATTTTTAAAGTCCACCACACACATACATACATGTACGAGTAGTAAATGAGTACGCGGGGGGACCAGGACGAAGACTTCTGTTTTGAAGGGATACATAAATAGAACAGCGATGGATAAGTGCATCAAGATGAAGGGAGTTTAAATTGAAAAGTAGTAGCCAACTTTTCATTTCTAGGAATTCCAAAGTACAAGACGCCGAGAACTTTTTGATCGTACCTCGTATATCGCATTACGGGTCAGAAACTGGAAAAGTGATGGCAAACCACCCCTGCAGGGAAGAACGTACAACTTCCTTGGGGGCAATCTCATCAGTAAAACGAACGTTTGGATTGTTAAACAACCTAGTTACAGTAGTGTGATCCATATTTCAGAAGTCTGTAATGCCATTAACTCACTTGCACATACGATATCTGGGGGAAGCCAGTCCCCTTGAGCTGTGCATCTACTAAATCGCTGTGTATCGCCAGTGGAGAAAACATAACCATTAGTGCAGTTATATGTGATCTTGGTGCCGTATATCCATGATGTCTGATTTTCATCCAGTGGCTCGCTGTAGTTTGCAAACACACCAACAGGTGGTGGCATAGTGCAATTGATGACTGAAACCAGGAAACACATATTAGAATTGTTGAAGTAGGTTTTAGTACAGTTTTTTATCCATTTTATTATATTTTATTGGGCAAAAACAACTCGATTATGAGGTCCATCTAACATATTAACCAACATTTTACCTAAGAAACCAGGCTGCATTTTAACCCTTAGCTGGTGCATAAAAGTCATTTTCTTGTGATAAGTCCAAGTGGATTAACCACTTCAGCATATCTTTTCAAAGAATAAATAATCTGTATGAAAGATTAAATGAGGCAAGGGAAATATTAGGGAAAAAGGCCTGTGTATGTCAAGGCTCGTTCTGGCAAAGGGCCATGCATATACACCAAATAAAGCAAGTAGAAAGTCCACTCCTATATCATTTTTTGGGTAATATGAAGCGATTTATTTTGGTATTTCTCTAGGTTATTCTGTTATATTTGAAACTATACCGTAGCATTTGGTCGGTTTTCGTGGCAAAAAAAAAAAAAAAAAAAGCTTAAAATGCATCTTAAACTGCACAAAATCAAATGTCTTACAAACCTTGACAACCCATGGGACTTAATGTAGGTGTCCAGGTTGCAGACATTTCGCAGGTCTGGTTCCCTGTCTTTGAACCGTCCGGCATCATAAATCCTTTATCACATACATAAGTTGCCACGCTCTGGTAGGTCAGACCAGTAGAGTTGATGACTCCATTTGCGATTGGCGTCAACTGAGGGCATGTCAACGCTGTAAGGAAGAAAAATAACTAGAGAATGAGAGAGGCAATACCGCCTACGGGTATTGTACAACCAGCTGGAGTAAGTGCATTCGCATGGAGAACAAAAAAAGGGACACCACCTCCAGTGTTGTGCTTGCCAAGCTCTGCAAAATGCAGTAAACAAGAACTCTCATTTTTTATCGTATGGAAAAGTAAAAGGTCAGATCCAAGGTTGCAGTAAGATCGTGAATATACGACTAAGTTCAATAGTATATATAATTAAGAGCCTGGAAATTTGCGAAGTGCGGTTCGGGGTGAATAGTAGGTGAAAGATTAATTTCAATGTCACAGGAAGACTGTCAATATATGAGTTCCTTTCCAAGTTCAGTAGTAACTATGGGTATATCTCTGCCAGTTTCGGAGATATAAGGGACGGAAATTCGCAAAGTACAATTCACGGTAAAAATAGGTAAAAGCTTAATTTCAAGGACACAGATTGCCATTATATGACTTCCTATTCATGTTCAATAGTAACTATGGGCTTATTCGCTGCTAATTTTGGAGTATTTCACATTTTATTTTTTTACCACTGAATATTGCGCCGTTGTACTTTTCCTATATCGCAACTCCTAAACTGAGTGGAAAACAAAAAATAGACACCACTTTCAGCATTGCGCTTGACAAGCTCTACAAGGGGCCTCTGGCATTTACAGGTACATTCAAGAATTAGAGAGTTTTTAGTTTCCGCGTCTAATGACTGCTTCTCCTGTGAAAATGCACCGATTGACCCCAAACTCCCGAAGATGAAAGGAGTCCCTAATTGTAACCGGTCACTATAATATGACAGCATAGGTCTGTGAAGTTTCTGAAAATTGGCACTAACAAGTATTTTTTTTTTTTTTTTTGCGGAAAATTCCCATTTTTAGTACATTTTGGCCCTTTTGACTTTGAAATGAAGGTCAAAGTTCAAATCCAAGGGCATATTTGGAATCTCCACATATGAATTTCGGTCAGACTTCTATACTATACTATACTATACTATACTATACTATACTATACTATACTATACTATACTAGTAACTTTTCTCATAGTTTGGGAGATATTTAGCATTCAATTTTCAAAAATTTTGACAAGGGTCCGTCAAGCCTATGCAAATGCACCGCCTGAAAAAAACAGAGGGTTCAAGTTGAGAGTATATGTGACCTAAATCCCAGAAATGGAGACACGGGCTTTTGTGGTCTAGGAGGAGAAGCGGTAACGGTGTCTTCTTTCCGGCGCCAGACTGCGGGACCGGCGGAGCCGTACAAGTCGGACCGGGACTAAAACCTTGAGTACCGCCAGCGCACACGCTGGTGGTACTAATAGTTATTATGCGTGAGTCTAATCTTTTTAATGATTTGTGATTTTGATTGTATTTAAAAATACACTATTTATCCTAAACCTTATACACCTGTTAGCATTTCACTAGAAAATATGTGAAGTGAGGGTCATTTTACCGTTCTGAGAATATGATGGATATATCTTTCCTTAGTGCACCTATTTCAAAAGAAACTGGCCATATGATGAATGATTTACCACAGCTGCATTCTAAATTGTCGACAAGTATGGATGTTACCTACCACATGAAATGTGCGTTACATACCTACACAGGCTGGAATTCCCGTGACCGTCCATGCTCCAAGTTCATTACACCTGGTAGATCTTGTAACAGTGCCATCAGAAAACATATATCCACTGTCGCAGGTATAACCAACCACAGTGTCATAGGCTGTAGAGGAGGTATTGTAACTAGCAAACGTCACGTTCTGTACAGCAGGACAGGTGAATTCTGTAACATGTCGAAGAGTGTCACGTACTGTATGTTCATTTGAGCTAAAGAATACTACGAAATCAAACTAAAACACCACTGTACACGTCAAATCATCTCCTTATCATATAAAACGTTATATTTAAACAATTACAAGCTCAAGCTGCTGGTACAGATTGTAGCCTTGTATCATAATATTGTTATTTAAAACTAAGAACGTGAAACGTCTTACACATGTTGACATGTGACAGCCAGTTTTTTGTTCTCCATACGATTACGGTCACAGTTTGCTGGTACGGCTGGTGACTTTGTGCCGTCAGCCTGACATGTGACAGTCATACTTACGGTCACAGCTTGCTGGCACGGTTGGTGACAATGTGCCGTCAGTTTGACATGTGACGGTCATACTTAAGATCACAGCTTGCTGGTACGGCTGGTGACCATGTGCCGTCAGTTTGACATGTGACGGTCATACTTACGATCACAGCTTGCTGGCACGGTTGGTGACCATGTGCCGTCAGCTTGACATGTGACAGTCATACTTACGGTCACAGCTTGCTGGCACGGTTGGTGACCATGTGCCGTCAGCTTGACATGTGACGGTCATAGTGGTGCTGCTGAGAGAATTAAACCGCCATCCACCGTTGCATGTCAAAGTTACCGAGGTGCCATAGTTTCTGACTGCTGATGATGCTGTTGCCTGTGTAACACTTAGGGCGGGGCACTGCACGGCTGGAGAAAAGAAATATCCATAGATGAATTTAAAAGGATAGCAGTAATTCATATAGGATTCAAATTCCACAATAAAGCATTGTAAACAATATACAGAAATATAATAAATTCCATTTTACCACCAAAAGGGCGTTTATCGCAATTATTTTGAAATCTGTGCTTGCCATAGGATCACGTGGACATTTTAAGATGTTTACTATCCGTGAAAACTCTTAAGAGATTGTTATAAAGATACGCTTCATTAAAAAAAACTGTCAACATGCTTTGAATGCGGAAAAATCCAGGTACCCCATGGCATCCCCCCCCCCAAAAAAAAAATGAAGAGTTACTGTCACTTTCATTTGCCAGATAAAGTATTACATGTGTCAGTAGCAGCCCATTTATGTTTTTTGGTTGTAGCTTTGGCCGTGATCTTGTATCAAACAAGACAAAAATGCAAATACAAATAACTATATAAACCCGCGTATACTTTATTTGGCATGCATGGTCACCCATGCACCCTTTGCCACTGGAGCATTGTTTAGGACTATGATTGGCGTCGTGCTCGGTTAACCTGCAATTGCCACAGCGATACCTCCCATTAAATAACGCATTTGAACTCACACTATTTCACTATGATTAACTTGATCATTTGCCGGAAATACCATTAATGGTGTCAACAAGCGACCAGGATTTTTTTAAAAATATCTTACTACTTTGCGTATATTTTTCTGCATGTCGATGCCGTGATATCGTACTTACTTTGGCATGAAGACTGGGTACAATAAGAAGTGCGGGTCACGTTTTTAAGTTTACCTATGTAATCAAAAGGCATACAAGACGAAAGCCTAACAAAACCCCCATGTTTTTCTGTGCATGAGCATTTTCTCGCACGTATGCATACGCAAGTCTTATACGCTAGTCTGTGACAGCGTCTTGAGCATGAAAGAGGTTCGTATGAGTATCGTATGTGAAATCGATTATACGCCTGGATTTTCTCAGAGTATGAGAAAGAACGAATAAGCAGCAAAGAAATAGCCTGTTGATAATCTTATAACACCGGTTGGATTGCGTTTGAATATCGCATGAGTGACATATACAGTATAAGCGTATGTCAGGCGTCGTAACCGTAGTCCACGCATGGGTTACGAATAAGTTTCGTATGTGAGGGGTTGAGTCCCGTAAATAACGTACGAGTATCGAATATGAGAGAATGAGTAATTAAATATATACGTAATTCTATTTTCCTGATAATTATGAACAATCTGGATCAGAATTATGCAGTATGGATCAGATCCATTTTGTATAAGAAAATACCAATTTTTTTCAGTCAAAACACTTGGATCTTAAAACAAATCCACGTCCCAGCACTTAAAATGTGATTCGCACTTCTTTTTGTACACAGGTTACAAAGCTGTTCAGAACCATTATTTTACTGTCAAATTACCCTCGCAAGATCCGTTGCTAGCGTCCACGTCATAGTTACCACCTGCGTTACAATAAATAGTGCCTCCAAATCCCGAGAGCTGGTATCCTGATGGACAAGTGTAGTTTACATGCCCGCCAATAAAACAGCAGGTGTCACTACACTGACTGTACGCCTTTGTTGCCTGGGCAATGTTTGGTGACGCACCGCAAGGAACAACCGCTATGAAACAATCAAACAAAAAATTAACATCAATGCGCAATAGACGCCACTACTCTACAGTGTTTATAACTGACATCAGAATCGCTATTGATGTACATATATGTAGAAGGATATATATGTTGTGTAAAAGTGTATAGGCCCTGTCACATCTTGTGCGTAAAAGATATACGTATGAGTACTGTGAAATCGTTTGGGCGTAAAAAAAAACCTTGTCCAGTGTATGAGAATTAACGTTTAAGCAGCGTAGAAATATGGTATTGAAAGCGTATTTTCACTGTATAACGTGCGTTTGGATGCCGTATGGGTAATTAAGGTGAATCAACGTATGAGTAACGTATGTATCGTATATCAGCGTTTAAGTAACGTATAAGAGCGTTTGATTAGCATACGTTTATTAAGCATATATGAGCGTTTGAATACCGAATATAAACGTATGCTTAGCGCATATAAGTGCATAAATGACGTAAAGGTAGCGTGCTTCTGTTTTATTGAAACTTTTGAAGTTGAAACTGAATCAAATGCAACTGGTACTAAAAAAACATCTAAATTAATCCAGTCCTTTCCATCTGGGGCGGTTGTGATGAAAATGTGCAAATTAAACTCTTTTTTAACCACAAATGACAAAAAGGAGAGGATGCGTTAATCGCACGTTTATCATGCGGTAGGTAAGCGCAAAATGCGTTTGGTGTACGCTAATGTACGTAAAGAATATATGAATATACGGCAGACATACACTGTACGTTAACATACGTTAACTATCGTTGGAAACGGGTCACATACGCTACTGGATCGTCAGTGTATCGTTCCATATTCGCTATACATACACTGCATATATCAAACCACCGCATTAGAGGCGTAGCATTTACGTATGCTTAGCGTCAGTCTAGCTTATTCATCTTATGTTTAGCGTATCCCTAACGAAATGCTACATGTTGGTATTGTGCGACTCAAACATTGAACATTTTTGAACATGCTCAGACTTTTGGTTCCTTCTTCTACTTAAGTAAGTGTACACCAACGTTTGCATGCGTATGCAAAACGTGAACGGCGTAATAACAGCAAACCAACTACTTTTGTCTGCGTAATTCATACGTTAGAGCAATACACTGTAGTGTGACAGTGCCAAATTTTTGGTTTTGGTCCGTGTAGGTAACGTTAAGGTTATGATATTGACGTTGCTGCAAAATACAATTCATTTTTTGGCTTTAGCAACACTTTCATATAGTTCATTTTTGGGGTTTAATAATAATAATAATAACAGCAAGGGGACTGACAACTGGATCAGATTCAATGGGTGCTGTTAAAGCGCTACCCCCACACACTCCAACTGGCAAAGTTATGATGATTATGTGAAATATGATAGTGTGTTTATATCGCAGATTACAAAGCGTTGGGATGAGTTTTTCAAACGTTAATCAAGCGTTAAGCGTACGTTCATCACGCTTATCGATCGTTACATCTACGTCCAGTAAGTTACTAGTTTGCGTTACTTATGTATTGCAACAGCCAGGCTATATCGGTCACCGTATGAGAAACGTACTTTATTGCAATTTGAACGTCATGCTACCGTATGCCTGGAGTACCCCTAACGTAAGGGTGACGTACGATTCGAACACTCGTATATACTGAAAAATTTTGTACAATCTCAAAATATCTCCCTCTAGGTTTACCAACGTTGACCTGTATACGGGAAACGTATACAAACGAAGCCCTTGCGTTTGTCTGCGTATACGTAAATTTCCTCATACGTTGGAGAAATACATCATACATTATAGTGAGACAGAGCCTTAGTTGGGGCGTCATATACAATTATTGGCTCTGGGTGAGGTCAATATCACTTTTCTGAGACCAGCAAAACAATACATTTACTGAAATCATTTTTCTTGATCTCTGTGTATGATTGAAGATTTTCCAAATTGCGAGTGTGTAGATAGCTATTTTGCAATAGTAAGATCTGATCCAGTTGGAAGGAAAGTGTCAACAAAGTAGATTAAGCTACCCATATGTTACTCATACACATAAATCTTACGTTCATATACGGTACTACTTTGCTCGTTTGCTCTACTAGTACGCTACCTACACGTTGATGACATTCGTTAACATAGGCCTGTTTCCGATACTCTTACGTATGCAAATTATGTGGTGCAAATATGTCAATCATACGTTATTTGGTTGCTTATTTTACGTTTTTTTTCCTCATACATATACGGTAATCATACGTTCATATACGCTACACTTACGATGGCATAAATTCAGAAATTCTGCTCATACGATAGTCATACACAAAGTATACGATGTGAAAACAACATCAATACATTATTACTACGCTACTTGTACATTAATTCTGAAATGGTTTTTCAAAGTTGTGCGTATCATCGATTTCACATACGATACTCATACCTACCTGTATCTCTTTTACTCTAGATGTGACAAGACCTTTGCATACATCTGCGTTGTATGCGTAGTGCTAGACTAGCTCTTTCGTTAGTGCTATACACAATATTGTGACAGGGCCTTCAGGGCCCCGTAACTCCAATGCATTGCGCATTGCAATTCCATAACTCGCCAATACTCGCCCCATTGATACAATGTAATCTCTATGGCCGCATTCTCTGTACCCCGCAGGGACGACGTGTGGGGAGGCGTGTGAGAGGCGGAGAGACTATTAAAAGATTAGGCGGGTTTTCTTTCATGTACGTCCGCCATTTTTAGTTCTCAGGATTTGTAAAGCCTGGCTCAATTCGTTGAGAATGCGGCCTATGTGATATCGCTATTCGCAATACGCGATGCTATGGAGGAGTTACGGGGCCCTAGTTTGCTTGCGTGCGTTGATGCTACTTATACTAGTTTTTAAAGTTGTCCCCGCAGCTGTGTGTGATCTGATTTACTCTTAATGGTTTAAGAAATTTAAAACCACTATTGGAACAGGTCTGCATAAAACATGCCATTCTGTGTGTCTAGACTGGTTCCTTTTCACCAGAATATATCTATATTACCTTGTTGACACTGGTATGGGAATGTGTCCTCACAGCTTTGTGCTGAGAAATTTACAGATGCCATACTGTATGTAAATGTAGCTGCTTGACACTGCCCATTGCTGGCTGGTTCTACACCACCTGGCCATTGGTTATAGTCAGGATCCATGCCAGACCAGGCACTGCCATTATTCTCTATGCCTACCCAACGCTGAGTGCCATTGGTGCTGTACACAAATGATGACAAATAAAACGATATTACTTATAAAGGAATTAAAAAGTGATGATCCAAAATGTGTTCTCTCTCTAAATGTCCTCCCTATCAATAAATTCGACTCCACACCATGTTTCTATAACATAAACGCTGTTAAATTTGAACAATTTTCAAGGAAACAATGTAACTTATGAATGTCTAAACATAAAAAAATTATCAAAACATTAAACAAAAACTTACAATTCGTGAAATGATTCCACAGTACCGTTGGTCGGTACTGCCAGGACTGAGCAAATGTCTTCACAGTTTTGCTTGGCTACAGTGTATGTGACTGTGGCATCATTTTTACACCAGTGCTTGTCCAAGGTTGCTGCTGTCCTATTAAATGAGGGGCAATCTGCCATTATCGCAACACCATAAATGCCATGACTGCATCCTATCAGAAGCATTGCAATCTAAAAAAGAAGGAAAGTGGGGGAATATCAGATGCAATTTCTTCAAGAGGAAGGACTTTCATTTAACATTCGTTCTTACCTTTTTTAATTTACCAGATAATATATCAGAATTACAGGATTGTAATGGTTTTCAATATTTTGAATAACTCATTAAAAATACATTTGTCTAATTATCATTCTAATTCATTGGTGCTTTATCTAATCTCACCTTCACCCACTCCATGATATACAAATTGACCATCTGCTGGGTGATCGAGTATGTTTGGAATGTTTCAGAAATCTTTCCAAGCAGAGTGTCAGTTTGTTATAAGTGCTCTTAAAAGTATACTTTTGAAAATCCCTACAAGAGTACTGCCACTGATTGTAGAGGTGAGCTTCTTGTGCTTCCCTGAAATATGGGCTGAAATAAAAGACTCACTAAAAAACAAAAGATACGCTGCTTAACATTTTTTTTTTAATTTCAGACTTTCAAAATGGATCGATAAGTAAGCAAATTTTTAAATACTTGTAAGAGAGAATATATAATACTGCATTTATCAGAGTTGGATTAGGCTAACACAAATAAATATAGCTAGTATACATTCCAACAAATTTATTTTTAGGGAGGAGGCACTGCACTTCTCCAATAAACCAGGTAAAACGGTAAAACTCACTAACACTAACAGTACTAAGACTCCAGTCACCCCGAATATGTAAGGCAGCGAACTGACTTCCTAGCTTTAAAAATTTATGCCTGTACAAGTTTTACAAATCGAAAAGAAAAGAAATTTATTTGAAAGAGTTTTCTGACTTCTCACAAACATAATGAAAAGTAACACAGTATTCCTTTCATGGTATTTGTGCAGTGCACAAAATGACATTTTTGTCAATTTTGACGCAATATTATATAATGAGTAACAGCATTATCACCAACGATTTCTAATTATCTACTATAGATATTTACAAAGTTATTTAGAAAATGTGAATACCAAAGGCATTAAGGCTCATGAAAGTCCAAAGTCGCACTTTATAACCCTAAAAGACATCTATAAACATATGTAAAACAAAATAACTAAAATTCAGGGTTAAAAAGGAAATATAAGTCTTAATTTAGTTTTATTTAGTTAATTTAGTTTAATTTATTTTTTGTTGCTTAGATAAGAATGCACTGCGTCCAATATAACACAATCACTCCCAATGTGGAAAAATCTCATTTCTTATTATCTGGAAAATTCGGAAAACATTAAATCTTTAACATCAGACATGGGTTGAATAACTTGCATTGTCGTTTTTTACTTTGTTATTCCAACGCCGTGCGCAAACTCGCAAGTGCGATGCATCATGCAGGCAGGCTTTTAAACGCTGGAGTTCATCTTTACAAATGAACACTATTACTGTTAAACCGCAATAACCTGACCAGTTTGTGTCAACTTCATATTTAAGTAGAATTATTTAAAGTAGTTGTTCGACACAGCAATCTTTTATCACATCAGCTGAAAATTTCGGCGTTCAGAAGTTTCAAGGTCCCTCGTGAACAAGAGATTATTGCAAGCCGGTTATTTCGCACGAAGGCCTGTACGGGAACCACTACTGTTAACAGCTGGGCTCCGTATCTCGAAAGGTTCGCTATGTTGCGCACGTGCGTTGGTGTCTCGATTCCATAACCGATTCTATTTCGAGATATGGGGCCATGGAATCGAGACACATGCGCACGTGCGCAACATAGCGAACCTTTAGAGATACGGAGCCCAGGTCATATACAGCGGCGTCTGCGATGGGCTGGGGACCACGTGCGTTTGTACATGTAGCCAAACCACCGGAATCACGTCGTTTTCAGCAATGAGGCCAAATGTGGCGTTTTTATGGTAGACGGTCGAATCCGTATCCGCCGACGTGTACGAGGGGCATATAACGATGTTTGTGTACTGTCTATGGTGCAAGCGGGGGGTGGTAGCGTCTCTGTTTAGAAAGCATTTCATGTCGGTGCCAAGAACCAGTTGGTTTTTCTAGAACGCAACCTCAACCAGGATTCCTACAGAGCCATTCTCGGTACAATATTGTCATCCATGCGCTGTTTTGTTTTTGTTAACAATAGTACCATGCCCTACCTCGTAGGGTAATTATCGTGTCTTACTTTCTGCTAACAAAAATTCCTAACCCTAGTTCGCCGAGATAAAGATCGAAGCTGAGCATGGTCGCAAATAAGTGATCGTCCGCGGTGGCTTCACTCTACTTTGATCACTCTACTCTGATACGGAGAAGTTAACTATAAAAACTTGCCAATAATGATTTTTAAAAGTGACTTTACCAAAAATATTCGGTTATGAAAGCAACTTTCATGTATATTTTAGCTATGAATTGATTGAACTGACAGAGTTGAATAAATGAATTAATGAAAGACCAAATAAAACACTACTCGTACTTGTACATGTAATATTCATTAAGCTTCAAACCGTCATTGCTATATACATATTATGAAAACAATTTAACTTCTCTTGTCTTGTCGCCATGATGATACACTGTGTGACTATAGCACGTGCTATGCGAATAGTGTGTTGACCAAGAGAAGTCCTACATGTAGGTTAATATATACCAGATTGCAAAAAGCCATTGAGCAATATCTATTTTGTCCTATGCATATGCAGTTCAAAACGATAAAAATAATTCATGTTTACGATCTAAACCCCAAACTTAACCAAAAGCCTTCTTCATACCTAAAAGCATCAAGGTAAATTAATTTAAGAAGCTGGAATACCATCTCTTGGGCCAACTTCACTGTTTGGCACGTGTCATCTCAAAATAACTGTCAGTTTAGGTTAACTTCATGCTTGCCAGGTAAACACGGTGATTAAGCTCTGACTTTTACACAATCACGAAAGTGTGACACGCGTCGACTGAATTTAATGTTAACATTGCGATGACATTCTTCAATCCTTACTATTCAATTTTACCTAATTATCAAATAACTGACGCGTGTCAATAAGATTGTTTGCCTATCTGGACTTCCTAAATGGCCAGTAAGTATTTTTGTATAATATGACATGTTTATATGCCATATTATGTGCCATCGTGTCACCTGCCAAATGAACGGTATAAATCTACACTCCAATTTTCCAAATAATCAATATCTTAAGACGCCTCTTTCCGATTATGTACGTTTGCGTATCATCGGCCTCCGAGAACAAGGGGTGCGAATTAAAGATATCACCACACAAATGGAAAATGAAGGCCATAAAGTGTCGCGACAGGCAATTTACCGTGTGTTAAAGAAATAAACGAAGGACTTGGTATTTCCTTTACTCTAATCTTCTGTTGCAGTTGATGCGATATTACCCGGTATTGTTTGCTCAGGTCGTAAGCAATCTCTTTGCATCAGCGATAAAGGAAAACTGAAGTGAGAAAATTAAGAAGGAGCAGAGCGTGTTCGTTGAACAGACTAATTTAGGTGTCCGATAAGGATTACTTGCCGTTTCTCCTACCCTGTAATTATTATGTGGCCTCTATTGTTCGACCATACGGCAGGGTTGGGTAAGGTGACTTTTCGGCGGCACTGTGACGTGTAGGTATGATTAAAAAAACAGAAATCGATACAGATTGATTGACTGTAAACAAGAATGTTCCAAGTAAATAACACAGCTATGCACCTGCTTTTCACTTGTTAATCTTTGAAGATACAAAAAATGATGGAAATTTTATTGATTATTTTACTATAAATGCCTACCCCACAATTAGCGGTATCAAGAAATCGAAAGTATTTTCTTACCCTTTCATCTGATATTTCTATGTTGCGAACAAAATATCGAGCTGCTATAACAACACGTTACAGATTAACAGAACAAAAAAAATTTACCACCAAAACTTTTAGAAGGACCTCTTTTTGGTCCATTTTCTGGTCCTACTAGTATCAGCCAGACAAACCAGTGCATTTATTTGTGCTTAGATGTACATACATCTACTATTTCACACTTTTGTGAGATTTAGAATACAGGTATGATGATGAAATATCCATGGTCTTCAAGACACATCACGCGCAAGACATCGAGCTTTAGGGGAGCTAGGCTGCTCAGTTAGACATTTTTCGGCCCTTTAAGGATACTGTAAGCGTTTGCCAAAAACAGATAAATCTTCAGTGTTCATTAACTAAATTAATTAGCATTTACACACTTGTCATCTTACGGGTGGCGTCAGAATTGTGATTTTCGGGTAAAAATAGAAAATATGTTTCTCAAATTTCTCCTTTACCTGAGTACCCACAAAAACCGTTTTAACGCCAATTTAATGACACTCCAAAATCCTGTCAGCGATTTTTAAAGGCCTGTTAGGTTTCATCGTTAATAAAGCAAAACAATGCCTTTGTAAAATGAAAATCTGTAGTTAAGAGCTCATAACTCCAAAACAAAATATTAGAACCAAAATGACAGCACTTGATTAAAGCCAATATACTTGTGGTCAACTTTGCCATTTTCGTGATATTTTTTAGGGGTGTAGTTACGCCCCACACCAAATAATTACATGCATCTCACCTCAAAAAAATAAAGGTGTTAAATTGACGATTTAACGCCGACTGATGGACTTAAGTCGCTTGGTCTTACAAGTTTCTTACGGTCGCAAGCAGTCGGCAGCAGGTCGCTAGAAGGTTCCAATTGTAACTGCATGGTCGATTGGCGGTCCAAAGTACCTTGGTCGTTAACAAGTTTCTTACCGATCGCAAACATTCGAAAACATGTCACTGGAAAGTTGAAAGCGAGCACAATAAATCAGGCGTAGGAAAGTGGTCTACCAGTATTTGGGCGAAGACTATTCTTTTCATATTTTGTCATGGGTGTCTTCTAAATATCAAGATAACAAACCATAGTATTTTAGAAAATGAAAACAAAAATTGCATTTTTCCCAAAAGTTGCAAGTGGCAAGTATAACCGTTCAATATAACCGCTGAATCTTGAGTGACCTAATTTCATCCCCTCAAAAACAAGAGCTGCAGAAGCGTAAAAGTGTCATGTGAAAAAATACGTCGCGATTACGAAATACAAAGTCATGATAACGACAAGATATAGAATGTTTTAATGTCACTTGTCGGCTTTGATAAGGTTAGCGGAGCCAAAAAAGTTATTAAGCTCTCCTCATGAAAATTGCGGAAACTTTATTATTTAATTTCGAAATAATTCAATTGATAATATAATGATATTTATACCAAAAGGTAAGCTACGTTGTTTCAAAATTACCTAAATTAATTGTGATCAAGGAAAAAATTATTTAATTAATTTTTTATTTGATTTATTTTGATTTATTTTTATGAACCTCTTCTTCATGAACATGTTTGAATTAACCGAGCAATCCTTATCCTGTGAACAGCAATGCCTGCGTCTGGCAAGTTAAGTAGCAAAGTTATTATTCGCACAAAATTTTATCGATATTTGTGTGCAGCACCATTTTCGCAGAATTTACGTTACATGATCTATTAATTAAATGCCGATGGCAGATTTCTAATAGTTAGGTGTCTTTCCTTCATATCTGGGTAGACAATCGGTAAAATAAAACAGAGTACAGTCCCGACTGTACTATGAAAAATATTCAACAGCGAGAGCTACGAAATAGGACCCGGGGCGGACGAATAACCTGTGTACATGTACAGTTACCCGAAAACAGTCCACCTACTAAATATCATTTTTTAAACTATTTATCTCCTCCAAATGGGTTCTGCTTAGACAATCACTAGTGCCTATCTGCTTTACTTAGTGATCTAATTTTCTCAGTGATCTTATGCCTCAAATGCTCTCTCTCAACAATTTAATCATTGAATCAATATTTTAAAACAGCAGAAGCGATAAAGGCAATTTCATGTATGAGTGGAGAGAGAGATCGAAGCGGGGGACTAACATATTGACATAAAGTTTAGTATATGAGTATAGCCATTTTAATTTTACCTATTCCTTTTAAATCGTGCACATTGATACCTATTATCCAACCTTACCTTCAGCCACAGTATCACGAATCGAAGTCCATCAAAATGAAACCTGTTTAAGTATCTGAGAAGGTCCCAACGCCGTGGTGCTTTGTCAGAGCAACGCCAGCATCCGATCGTTAATATTGGTGACGTACATGTATGATTTAAAAAAAAAACAGAAATTGATACAGATTGATTGACTATGAGCAAGAATGTCCAAAACAAATAACGCAGCTATGTGCCTGCTTTTTACTATTACATGTCCGGAGGTAAAAAATTGATTAAAACATTGTTCCGCTTACAGAGGGGTGACATAAGTAGCCTACTGAATAGGCAGCGCCTGTGTAAATAGTGCTCTATATGTTAGATCGCATTCACAACGAGTTGAGCAAGGCTTTACAAATCCTGGGGACTAAATATGGCGGACGTATATGAAAGAAAAACCGCCTAATCTTTTAATAGTCTCCCCGCCTCTCACACGCCTCCCCGTGTGTCGTCCCAATGGAGCCGAGATTTAATGACTGTCCCCCCGCAGGGGCGACGTGTGGGGAGGCGTGTGAGAGGCGGAGAGACTATTAAAAGATTAGGCGGTTTTTCTTTCATGTACGT